CAAAAAACTTTTTACAATGAATTGAAATAAGCATTTTTTTTTTCAAATACCGGCTAGAATCACAATGGTGTCTAAGTTTCTTCAGTTTAAGGTTTCTAAGATTTTATTATATTTACTCTAGAGAAATCCCAACAAAGTTAAAAAAAAAAAAACAGTTGCCAGTTTCTTTACATAAACTTACGCCTTACACCAGCCTGACACCAGTCTCAAATTTAATAGAATGATGTAAATATTACCTTAATTAAACTTTTTTTTTACGTACACTATGCTAATTGTCCCCTGCTCATATATAATTCTTTAATAATAGCTCATGAATTTTATAAATTTTCTATCAAAATCAACCCTAATAGCTTATATACGGAAATATAATTTATCCCCGTTAATTTTTAAAGACTTTTTTATTTTGAAACCATGAAGCAACTTTTATATGAGAAATAATAATTACGTAAATAAACCATTCTCTCGAACAAAATTCAAACATATTTGTGTCACTTATTATGCACCAAGTGGGAATACATTGTTCGAGGGACGTCCGATGGACGTTGCCCGGACGTTACGTACCCACTGGGCAGCTCTGGATCAAATTGTTTTGCCTAATTTTGACCCTTACCTATCCTGTTTTTAAAAATAAGTTAAAAGATTTTTTTCTCTTTATTTAAAATAATTAATATATATTTTTAATTAATTTATCTCGCAACGAAATAATGTTTTATTATTTTGAGCTATCTATGCTAAATTTTTATTTTATACTTGAGTACACTTTACATTTATAAATTTAAGTACAATTTATTGTTTTTTTATGTTGTTTTTACCTATTCTCTCGTAAAAAGGATTTTTTTATATTATTTTGCGTATTCTCTATTGTAAAATGCTTCTGACGATAAGAGCATTGTGATTTTCCTTTAGAAGCCTTGAATGTATTTGTAAAATATGATATGATATATGATATATATATCATATGATATATATTTCACACAATAGCTATAATCAGCTGTAACGAAAAAACTTAATGAATATTATATACAAAAAATGCTATGTGCTCTCCACTTTGATGACATTAAAGTTTTTAATTAGAAATATATTAAGGCGGTACTAAACGCAATCACGTATTGTTTATTAAGTATATTTAATGATGATATACATTTTGTGTATATAAGATTGATTAAGTTTTTTTGTTACAGATGAATATAGCTTTTGTGTGGTTTTTTACGGTCAAGCACAAACTGCAAAATTTATCACCAGGTTTGAACGGCTCCGCTCGGTCAAAAATATTCCGCATTAAGATAGGCTCTATACCCTTATTCTTACATTTTCTTACAAGTTTAGAAGGTTTAGTAGAGTTCGCTTTACTTATATAGAAAAGTGTTTTTATGTTTATACCATCTGTCTTTGAAAGTTTTTATAGTAAGTCTAATGTAACAATATCCCTCTTCTTAATGAGTTTTTACATAGGCGAGAATGCAGTTTAGAACAGGGGTTGTTTAGAGCAATATAACTTGTAAATAACTTGGTTGATAAGTTTATAAAAATTACAAACTTACCAACCAAGTCAAATAGAAATATTTTTGCACGTAACTGCCACAGGACTTTTGTCAAAAAGGCATTTAAGTAATATTTTATTTTTACTTTTTTTACAAACGTTTTATGAATTTGATTGTTTTTCTAATTTTTTTTTTAATTTTTAAACGTAATAAATTAGAAGTAAGAATTTACTGAGGAACTTACTTCTCTCCAAGGAATTTATTTTTTTCATTATTAGTGAAAGGATATGTTTTGAGATATTAATAAAAACTTCAATGACAATTTATTAAATTTTTATAAAAAATTTGTGAAATCATCTGAAAAATAATCTGAAATCAGGATTGAGGCAGAATTGGACAAAATTTTATAGGGCACATTTGAACGTTTTTGGGGCATCTTTGGACGTTCATAGGGCACATTTGGATGTACATGGTTTACATTTGGACTGCGCTTCTTTTAAAAATCTTATTGGCAAATAAAATTTTTAAAAGTTAAAAAATTAAACAAAGTTGGCGCGCAAAAATTTGCTTTTCCATCAAGTAATCTATTTTCACATTTATTATTATGTTTATAACATTAAAACTTGCTTGAATGTTATTTTTTTAACAGGGTTTTGAGAAAACTTTCATGTTTATCTCAATTTATTTTACATTCACACTCATTCTTTTGTTATTATTTGAAGTTAATACTTTTGTATTTATGAGATTGATAGATGATTGAATAGTATTTTCATTTTAGTTTGTTTGAATATATTATACAAGAAAACTATTTAATGGTTTGAGATCTTTATAAAAGTAATTCTATTATTGGGAATAATTCTCTTAATTTTGCAACAGTTTATAATTACTGCTCAATAATAAGAATGAAATTTAAAGAATTATTTTTTGTATTTTTGTATTATATTTCCTAAAGTGCCCCAACGTCCTCCTAAACTATTCCCTCTTGTGGTGTAGTTTTGGACAATGAATAGCTTTGTCTTTAAGGAAAAAAAAACTGTAATATACTTTAACTATCTGAGCTTTACTTGAAAAAAAAAATCAACTAAATTACTTTATTCATCAAAAATTTCATATTTTTATCAAACATATTAAATATTCATATTACCTTTTCCAAAAAGCATTCGTATGTGCCCCCTTTTCCCCTAAATAAACAATTTTTCTTCTAAGATATTTTCAATTAAGTGGGCAAGAAGTGGTTTGTCGGCAATTTCATAATGTATAATTGGTATATATTAGGAGTATTAATATATTCTTCTTATGAATATTAATAATATTCTTGATGCTCAGAAGGCAGCTATAACTAGTTTTTAAGTTGCTCCGATTAAAGAGTTTATAAACTTTAGAAAGGCGTTTATGAATTATAGCCATAATTATTTTTGCTAAATTTGTTTTAACTTAGAGTAAATTAGACCAGTTAATTTTTTGTATTTGAGCATTCTATTTGGTATGTAAGGAATGAAATCAATCTTATCTTTAAACCCGCAGGAATAGAGAGCGAATTATATTTATGGCAACAGCTTCTTTACTTAACGATATTTTGCTGATGGGGGTAGAGATTATTTTCGGTATTGATTTAATAATGTTTGGAGGGTGTTTGGAATTGATTTTAATATGTAAAGGCTAATATATAAAGTATTATCCATTGGCTTTTTATAAGGTTATAAATATTCTCCGAAAGGTTAAATAAGACATCAAAAAAAAAATTTTTCAATGTCATTTAAGTTAGAAAAGACTTTATTAAAGAAACAACAAATTTCAATAAGTTGAAAGATAAAATTATTTTATTATAAATTATTTAATAAAATTTCAAGCAGTGGTTTGATCTTATATTTAAAAAAATAAAGGCAAATTTTGATTAGAAGTCGATTTTGATTTCATGCAATCACTTTTTGGATTTCATAAGTAAACAACAAATAAACAGCAACAAAAAATGACAAAAAATTTATTTATGTAGTAGTTTTATTTAAAAATACAAAAGATATAGAAGATATAAAATATGCTTAAAACTTTTTCTTCTTGTTTTGACTTTTTTGCAGTCTTTCGCGCCAAAAAAACATGCCACTCTAATTTTGAAATACGCGATTTCGCCATTTTACGAATGGAATAAGTCATTCTATTAAAACCGAACTGCTCAATTAAATTCCATAACACCCGACTTGTTTGAATAACTTTATTTATTTATTTATTTTTTTTTTTTTTCTTATTGAACACGCCTAAAAATAAAGTTATGGAATTTTTTTCCAAAAATATCAAAAATGTTTAACAGAATTGGTAATGTCAAACCTTATTCAATTATGTAATCACACAATAGTTTCGATTTTTTCAAAGATTTTCAATAAAAATGTGTCAATTATTATGTTTTAAAATTTAATAGTTTTCAAAAAAAAAAAAACTTTATTAATTAAATGTCTTTTTTTTTTCTTAGCAATATGATAATTCCGATTATTTTATTTAGGACTTAAGTTTCACAAATTTATAAAACTTCAAAAAATCTATGATTGAATTAAGAGAAAATTCATAAATATGAATTATATATGAGGCTTAAATTTACATTCCTCCCTGCATCTTTTGTTTCTTTTTTTTGAAAAAAAATGTTGTTTTTGTTGCCAAGTATGATTGATTGATTGATACTTGTTTTGCAAACATAAGATGTTTTAGTTTTTAAACAAACAAACAAAACAAAAGAGGAGTACAAAAACTAGGCAGATTTCAAAGCTTTCTACCACCTCCACCCCTTTCTCCTTTCTTGACAAAAATAATCATTAAATAATAAGTTGTTGTAACAACGCATAATAGCAATTTTTTAACTGGAAGAAATTTCTAATGTTGTAGGAACCAAAACTATTAGCAATCTGTTCACAATTTTTTAAACATGTCATATAATTTTTTATACTTGCCCTAAATAATAAAGCTCAAACAATGGGCGTTTTAAAATGAGAAAAAAGGCGTGCACTTAACTGGGCGCAAATCCTTTAACTTTATTTTTATCTCCCTTTTTTTTGTAAATATTTTTAAAACAAGTAATAAAAAACAAATCACAGCAAGATAAAAACAAATATAAAGTACAATAAATAAACATAAAAAATATGGCGCCATTAATTTAATAATTTTCATGTAATTAAAAAAATTTAAAAAAGGTTTCTTTATAAAGTTAATTTAACTTATTTTTCCGAATCTTTTTCATGTTGCCACTTTTCTATAAATAAAGGAGGTAAAAATTTTAGAACTGGTTGCAATGAAAAGTGGTAAGTTGGTCTAAAGTTTAAAGCTAACACTGAGCAATTTAGTAAAAATATTTTCCAGGTGTTCCCTTGGGAATATAAGTTGTTTATCAAATAAAACATAATAATATTATAAAACGTTGTAAATATTTTTAAGTTTTTGAGCAAAATCTGCTCGACAGGTTTGTTTAAATTATTTTATTATGAATGATGTTTGTTTATAGTTTATTACACTTTAGTCTATTTAATGTCTTTACGGCACATATATATTTGGTAGACGGCACATATATACATATATTTGGTAGACCTCTCAAAAGTATATTGCTTTATCATTTTTTTAAGAAATGATTCAAATTGTAAACCTTGTCATGGCAGGTCTTCTTTTAGCTCATTCACTTGATGGATTTGCCGGAGGAATGGTGGATAATTTTCGTAAAAAAGACGATATTTATCAGGTTGTTTTTTTAGTGTTTTTGTTTTTAAAACAAATGCTGTTTTTTTAAATTGTTTAAAGAAACAACCATATCATCATAATTACTAAAATTTATGATAATATATTTAACATAAGTCTTTCATATTTTTGTTTTTATCTTGAATTTACTTTGTATAGAATAATAAACTAATTGAATGGAAACGTTATGCAAACTTACAGAGTAACAGAAATAAACCAAACGTGCAAAATAATATCAGATTCCCCAGAGAACATTTTAAAGATTGTGCTAAATATTGCGATAACAACGATAACAACTGCATAAGTGACTGCAAAAGAATTGCCTGGTTAGTTATCTAGTTCGTTTTTGGTTAGATAAATAAAGACTTAGACTGAATTTGCTTTCACTTATTAAAGACATAAACAAGTCGAAATTAAATAAAGAACTTCATTATTTTATATATTTTAATTTTTTATTTGTAAACAGTATAAATTATGTATAAAATTTTCAAACAGTTAAGAAATTTATTTTGTTTATTACGTTTCGTCATTCTCTTTCATTTTAATTATTTTAACAAAATTTACCTTTAAAACGGTACTGTGGTTATTTAGGTATTGATCCTATTTTGATATATCACTGGTTACAAATAATTCCTTTTTTAGTCTGATTGATAATTTTAGTTTGTCTAATTGTTTCTAGTTTTGAATACTATTCTGAATTGCCCCATTCCAGATGATATCAAATTAAAAATCATTTCAAAATTTATTTTTTATATGTTGTAAATAGGGTTGCTACGCAAACTTTGGCAACCCATACCTTTGTTTTTGATTAAAATAAATTCTTCATTTTTTAGAGTTCGCGAGTTGTATTTGTAAATAACGTATTTTTAAAATATTATTAAAAAAATTTATGAAATATTATTTAAAAAAATTATAAATATTTGTTTATTCTCTCGTTTTAAATTTAAAAAATTTATTTTTTAACTATATTCGCGCGCTGAATGTAGCTAAAGAGTATTTAGTTTAGCTGAATGTAGCTATTATGTGGTTTATTAACCTGTGAATGTAGCTATTATGTGGTTTATTAACCTGTGAGTTAAAAAGTTAAAGCCCTGTCGATGAAAATGCTTTAAAATATAATTTTTATTTTAAGTTTTATTTTATTTTTGATTTCAATACAAAAATAGACATTTCTGTAAGTAAAAGTTTGGACATTTCATTTAAAAATTGAGACATTTCTTTACTTTTTTTTTGGGTTTAATTTGGAATTTTTAAAGAAGTTTTTGAAAATAAAATTACTAAACTTCACTTATAAAAACTTTATAATGAATTGAGGTTTATTCATTTGAATGAATGAGTTGCATGTGTTTTGTAAATGCAAAATGTAAAGTTAACTTGTTTTAAAAATGGGTTGTTTTCGTTATTGCAAAATTTTGAGTTCGTTTTATAGCTTGTAAGCAGTACGTGACAATTATTTGCATAAAACTTAATTTGCTTCCAACTGACTTGTTTTTGTAAGCTTTTAAAACAAAATATAACTAATGAATATATTTATGAAATGTATTAACAAGATAAAGTATACCTAAACTAGACATTTTATATACATAAACTAGACATTATACATAAACTATACATTTTTTTTATATATAAATATTTAAAAAAAAATGGGATGCAACCAATTTTCACAAAAAATTTCAAAATAGGTTACCAATTTTAAAAATGAATTAAAAAGTTAAATTCTCTGAAAACATTATTATCTAAAACTCAAACAGTTTTATGAACATGTATTAATCAAAAAAACAAGTAAGCTACACACAAAAAATTTCAACTAAAATCAGTAAAAACTATGAAAACATCAAAGATTGTTTATAGATACAAATATTGTTTATAAATACAAATAAATAATAATAACAGTTAACAGGGCCGACGACATGGGTTTTGAAGTGGAGGGGCTCAATCCTCAATTTATAAAATTAGTCCTCTATATCTAGAAATTTCTAAATGCTCCCTGACCTCCTCGGTGACGTCGAACCTGAATAAATTTTAATTTTGTATGCGGACGTTTGTTAAGGCTGTTTTCCACATAACAAAATATTCGTTCGACAGAATTTTTTGTCGATAAGCATGCGCAGATAAAACATTTCTAGCAATTATGCTGATTTCTTTTTGCTACAGCGTTTCGCTGCTGCGCAAAAAAAAGTCATAATCAAATAAGGAGCAAAACTTAAATCGAGAATTTAAAAATGTAAATTTTCACACTGTCAATTACGAAAGTTACACTACATAAGAATGTTTATCTTCGAGTAGCCAATCGAAGATAAACCTTTTTATGAAAAACCCTAAATAGAGTTAAACGTGCTGTTCGTTCTTGCAGTAACAGTTTTTTAATAGAAATGTTCATATCAAAGTTTAGCATCTATTTTCTTATACTTTCTGGTAAAAAACCTTATATTAAATTATTATATTACAAAATGATATCACATCATATATAAAGACAGAAATGTAATATTAATGCATAGAAAGAAATCTCTACATGCTTCAAAGTAGAAAGTATGCTAAAAAAGTAATAATTGCTTTTAGCTAAACACACAGCGTAAACTTATTGCTGTCATTTTTATTTTTGACAAAAAAAGTAGCGCAAAAGAAAGCAAAACAGCGTTTCGTCACAGCGTTTCGTCACAGCGCTTCGCGCGAATATTCCGTCCTGCGGAAAAGGTCGTTAGCGTGTAAGAACGTCCGTGAAGTTGAGGACATTATATTGTTTATAAATAAAAAAGTTGTTGTCGTTGAAAAAAATACCGCAAGTAATTTAAATTAATATTAAGTGATGAAAAGACCATTAATACTTCTGCAAGTCTCTCGCGTTTTTTAAATATTGATCAAACTTTGCAGTTTCATTTTTTGTATAATACAACATTTATTGATTTTTTTTTTTGGTTTACATTTGTTAATCGTTGTACAGCTTTAAATAACCCATAACAAAAATAATAATATAAACTTACAATGATATAAAACATAACAAACAT